CGGTTAAACACAAATTGAGCATGTGCTCCTGAGGGCGCGACCACTGCGACCAGTTCGAGTGACTCATCTACTCTTTCTACCAATTGAACTGAGGGCACAACTGGTTCGAATAGTCAACTAACAGTCCCAAAACGAGACAATCCGTGAAGCTGTTGCGGCGGTGACAAATGCAACCAGAAGGGGTGGTGTGTTTTGACACTCACACCAAATTCTGCGCAATCCAACAGACTGAAGCTACAAGGCATCCGGTGATTGCGAAATGTCGTGCCCGATATCAAACAGAATGCGATCAAGTACAACGCGCTTGTCAATTCATAATGCACTCGAAATTATGTTCTATGACTGTCCAAAGGTAACCGCCAACGGCTTCCACTGAACCGAATGGTTGTCACTTAAATTATCCAGCAAAAAGCGACATGTACGAAGGTGTGGAGAAACAAGGTCAGGCGAATAAGGCGGGTATTGTCGGAGTCCGTAATGTCAATTTGGCAATTTGTGGTGCGGTGTTAGCACGGTGGTAGATGAAGCCGTTCCAATTGACTGCTTTGACGTGCTTAGCTTGGATTTCGACATTGAGCTGGATGAGTTGGTCGTAGTACGTCTCCGAGGTTAGTGTCTGGCAAAGCGAAATCCACTCATTAGACACGATGAAAATTTCTTCCGATGCTCTTTTACTTCCAGGATTCACCAGAATCATTCCTAATTTCCAATTATGACCTGATGCAAGAAAGGTTCGCTTTGCCAGAGACTGTAGAACAGCTCAGTTAGTTAAAAGTGGCGTTTCGAAGACGATCCAAGTGCTTCCAGCTTGTAGAATGCAGTCAAATTATCACCATTTTGCCTAACAGCACACACTTCAGAGGAAAAGCGCAGATTAGTTGCTCAGAACGAGGTCAAGAAAACCATTTTTAAATTACCCGAAGAGCGGGAACACTAGTTTAGTGAACGAATTTACTAATTTTATTGAGGATCCAACACTTGCTGCTCTTCTTCACTACGCTAGAACACTAAGTAAAAAATCTACATAAGTTACAATTTTAGAGTTTGCGGTGGTAACTGACAAACTGCACATTCCTTATTGCACTTAAACGATGTCTGACACGGGAAAATGTTTCTGAAGCACAGGAATTAATTTGAAGTGTTCTGGGTGCTGTCGACGTTGTGTCTTGTCAAACGTGTTTTTATTGGTACGAGAGTGTTAGAAGTGGTACTTTCGGTTTTAGTGGCCAGCCTCTCATCGGAATTAGAAGCCCTACTGGATAGAGACTCAACGCAGCCGTAAAGATGAACCTGGAGTCACCAAAACAGCATTTTCCAAGAGATCATGCTAAATTGGATAGAATCTGTTAGTTGAGAGTTGGGTCCAAACTATGTTTTGAGCAAATAACCTAGGTTAGTTTGAGAATATGTTTTTCACAACTTGCCCGGCCACAAGTAAAAAGGACTCAATGTGGAAAATTGTGGGAAGTGATGTAAAGTATATTTTGGCGTGAATTTTAAGCGTAAGTAATCGTAGATAAATCCAAGGCAGCATCCCAGTACATCGATCTCGAAACAGGATATCTACTTGAAAAATGTTTTCCTGTGTAACTGGTGGCACACGACAGGCGTGCTTTATCACAAAATTCAGGAAACTAGACAGATGGTGACTGCACAAACTGCAGCCTACCACTGAACACACTGACTAAAAAATTAATCAAAAAACCCTAGTTTCTGGTTACGAAATCAAGCAAGTCGCACTGCTACATGAGAGCGCTCTACCCCAGGTTGTTGGCACGACTTAAATTTAGAGTGGAAAGTTCTCTTTGATGCGGCATATTCCCTATATTTGGCTTCGTTGGACTATAATTTGTTATGGATTAGCAATTCAAAACGCCGGACGATGTGCGCAAATTTGTTGACGATGTCTTTATTGCCTTGAAGACTGCAAGCTTCTTTCGTGATGGCATTCATGCGGCTCCTGAGACCTGGCTTAAGGTCATGGAAAGACTATACACAATACTAAATAAATTTGCTATAAAATTTGAACGAAATATTTAATAACTAGCGCTTCTTGCTTATTCGTCTTAGCTCCCTTTTGACAGTATTCATTAATACCTAAAATGTTTCTACAATGTTTGCAAAATTAAAAGGCATAGTTCCGAACTCTTAGAGCCTTGACGTAGTATCGAATGCTAAGGTTCGCTAGTGAGCCGGATCGATCCCAATTTGACAGTAGCCCGACCTTAAATTTGTGCTAGAAAATCGTACCTAGCGTAACGTTCATAAACTGCGTTAATTCACACCGAGCTTTATAGAGTCCCCTATCCCTGACGACCGCGATGAATGATGGGATTAATAAGGTCGTACAATTTTCTTCTCCGAAATCTCCTCTTTAACCCATTTAACTGCTGCAGGTTTTGTCAAGGCCGTTGTATGGTGAGGTGTGAAACTGCTCAATGAATATCACCGCTTGTGACAATCTTGCGGCAACAGCCGTCACCATTTCCAGCAGTAACGTCCTCTCAAAATGGGGTCACCTTACGAATTTGCTCTCTATCTTATTTTTTTGTGGTTAGATATTTTGTGAGTCGTGTTTATTCACACCCCTTAATTCAGTCGCTATACCACCTACACAGGGTTCCCCTTTTTCGCAGCATGTCGCCAGCCGTGCGGATTCTTAACTCCCCCTCATTTACACGAATATTTATCTTGGATTACCCTCACACCTAGGTCTCGATGTTGGCACATTTATGACTCACACATCCGAGGTATAAATACACACGTGCAAGCCCCACACACGACACAACGACACCAACGTAGTTGATCTCTGAAATAAACAGTTGTGTCCGCGTCCTCTCACGTCTTGTTCTTACGTAATCCGACCAGGGTTGATTCCATGGCCCGGTGTGGTTAAAGACCACATGCTGGGGCTCACAACAGATAAATGCTTGCCATAAGATATAGAACTTCTGAAGTCGGGTATGTTAGCGGTGTAACTGTTGTTATGACGCCATTCCCTTGTTTGTAAGCAAAATGCATAAACAACCTGGTGGTTTGCTTCATTCCACCATGTAGCGATAGAGGAAATCAGACCACAATATTGCATTGCATGATATATCTGCAAAAAGACACGGGATATGCTGGTAAGCACATCCTACTATTGTGAGAGGAGCCTTTACTGCGCACTTAGTTGCCATCGGCGACCTTGATTCCAATAAATGACCCCACCTGCTTAGAGTTGAAAGTTTGCTTAAGGAACTGGCTTAAGTTAACAAAGGAACATCATGTACCCGTGTCTGCTTTAAAAATGTAGAAATCTATAGCATAACCTAAGTGATAGAAAAAGCCAGCTACGAAAACATGACGTATAGGTGGCGGGACACGGAATCAACTTACCTGAATTGCCACCATGAAACAGTTTAAGGAGGTCTGTCTCCTGCCGAAGACCTCGTCGGACAAAACTAATGACCTGTTCGCAGGTGCCATGTATATTGTCAATCACTAACTAAGGAAAGTCGGATAAGATCAGAAATGCCATCTCCTGCTCACAATAATCGATAGGCAATCCCAAAAATAGTGTGACACAGTGCCATTTAACCTTATTCCCATATATTCCTATTGTTTCTTCGCAATACAATTTTATCTGACTAAACCTTAATAGATGGAACGCCCTCTAAGGAGGGGGGGGGGGTCAAGGTTCTTTCAAAGGCATTGTACAAGGCGTACAGCCAACGCTGCGAGCCCTCCTTAAAGCCTTTTTCAATTGAAATCGCGGGGTGCATGCTAAGTGACGATCGAGATAAACTGTATATAAGGCATTTCGGGCATTCATCAACCAATCACAGAAATTATCTTTCAGCTTGTAAATAATAATGCATTGATCATTAGTTGAAATTCCGATTCTACACCCTAAAGACGTTGGATATATTTAAGCTTATTCTTAAACAGAGTTTAACATTTGAAAATACACTTTTTCAGTTGTGTTAGATGGGAATTTCAACATGATCCAAGACAATTAACGAAAAAATTGTGATACTTGACGTCGAAACAATCAACTCTGTTCACAAATTACAACTCTATAACCATGACTTACTTTGTGCTTCCACAAGCAAATGGTCACTGTGTTAATAACTGGACTCAAAGATTTTAAATTGCGCAAGCATATCTGGTGAACGTCTTTTGCTTTTGTCTTCCTTTTCGGTTATATTCTGAGGTCGAAAATTTGTTTCGGAATGTAAATCCCTCTGAAAATGCTGCGGTATTTTTTGTTCTTGGAAGCACTCGACATGAAAATCAAGGGAATTATGCAATTAACTTATCGGCTAAAATTAAGACAGGGCTTGATTCGAACACTGAACTCTGGTAATGCACTCACTAAGTGATCAAAAAGATATAAACAAATTGTTAAGTGATTTATATAACATTTTGTACAACTTACCTGAAATATAATATACCTGTGTATATAATTAGCAGTGTGCTAAATAATTGACTTTCAGCTGGTTTGTTTTAATGAGTCATCTTTCCTAATTATTTACGTCCTTGAGAAAATTAGTTATAAGTGCTGCCTTCGACTTATTCTTCCAGTCTGATGGAGTGCTTTGAAATCCTTTACGAGCGTGCACTTCAGGAGTCAGCTAAGGTGTACGAAGAAACCTTTAGACAGTTTGATGGAATTGAAACGTCGTTAACTCATGGTGGGCACAAGCCTTTAGAGTTACCAGACATGGGCCATCCTGTTGTTACACCAATAACGTTGTCAACGACATTTCAGCAGTTAAAACCTGCTACTGGGAAGGTTCGATTTATAAAGTTGTTTTTATACGCAATCGTAGTACGAGTACGCTCGGTCTGGCAACTATTCCAGACATGTCTTAGAAAGTTGCATATCAACAATTGAAAACAGTGAGGGAGCATTTGTCTTTGCTTCTGGCCTTGCTGCTCTTGGCGCGTGCCTCGATTTGTTGAGCCATGGAGATCATATCATTTCTTTTGATGATCTGTATGGAGGTAAGTACATATGTAGAATAAAGCACTTCTCACAACACCATTACGTTTTCATCATTTTTCCATCATAACCAACAAACCATGCCTTACGTTCAACTCTAAAGCATACTTGAAGTCTGCAGATAAGCTTATAGTTGTTATGCTAGGTTTATTTACTTACATTATGCATATAGCCTAGTCTTATTCACGGAATGTTTTTCAAAAACAAATATGTTATTCCCTATATCAGAATTTCATTTGTACTTTGATTAAGCCATTTCGTCCTAGATATGCAGATTGCTATGAAAGTAATGAAACATTTATCATTATGTGATTCTGGTAAATGCACCTGCAGAGATTGTAGTCTAGCACTTTATTTGGAATTCTAAACTAGTATTTGTCATCAGGAAACACCATTTAGCTGAAGTGGTCAATTATTACAACCTCTTTAAACAACTGACTTTGTACTGATTTTGTTTATTTGTGCAACCAAGTACATCATCTCTTTGTTTGAAATACTTGACACCAAATAATCTTATTTTATTTAGGTACTGGAAGATATTTTCGAAAAATTGCTTCAAGACACGGTCTGGAGTTTAGTTATGTGGACATGCGCAACCCTGAACTTATTAAAACAGAATTGAAACCGAATACCAAGATGGTTTTTATTGAGACTCCATCAAATCCCTTGATGCGATTGGTTGACATTGTTGAGGTTTCGCGTATTGCCCATGAAGCAGATCCCAACATTCTTGTTGTTGTCGACAACACTTTCATGTCGCCTTACTTCCAGGTATATGACTTTGTGCATAAAAACGCTTTCTTGTACATCCTTTTGTCACAAGTTTGATGTGACACAAATTTCCTGTCTACGCGTATTCCGCATTTGCTTTTGATTAATTAGTAATGTTTTTTTCGTTATTTCACTTTAAGCGGCCACTCGAACTAGGTGCAGATATCTCCTTAGCATCGCTAACAAAGTACATGAATGGTAAGTTTTTATTCGCATTTATCTTATCGAGTTAATGCTTATTCGGGTCCGTGTCAAGTGTTCACGAGCTCATCAACTTTGCTGTTTTCAGTAGCATTAACCTCAACCCAAAAACGCAGCCCAATGAGGTTGATTTCATTAGGGTACTTATTGACCAAGTACCACTAAATCTGCTTTTAGTCTGTTTTTGATTGGTCTGCAACGATTTGCTTCTAATTTAGGCCCATGACTCCAACCTAAAATGTAATTCGCTTTGGACAATGGTTATCCAGTTCAAGATACTACGAAACTAAGCGTTTAAGTATTCAGTGGAGCATGTAGAAGATCACACAGTTTGGCCAACATCGTTTTAGGTCATTCCGATGTGATTATGGGTTCGGTTGCAATTCGTAAGGGCCTCCCTGAAGTGCAAAGTCAATTGAAATTCATCCAGAACGCCGCGGGTGCAGTTCCGTCCCCATTCGACTGCTTCCTCTGTCTACGCGGTCTCCGTACTCTGGCGGTGCGGATGCAAGCGCACATGCGAAATGGGCTCACCATCGCCAGCTTCCTCTCACAACACCCCAAAGTCGAGGCTGTTCTGCACCCAGGTACAGCTGATTTTTAGTGTTTCATCAATAGTACAACGAGATCTCGAGGCGATTATCCACTAATTGCACTAATTGTATTTTAGCATAAACAAAATACTTGAATATCAACCACTAGCATCGTGGATACCACAGTGGTAAATGTAAACTGACTTAATAACGGCATATGCTAACCTATTTTACCCTCCAAGGACTAAAAAGCCATCCACAGTGGGAGTTAGCACGGAGACAGATGAGAGGATTCAGTGGGATGATCTGCGTCTTCCTCAAGGCAGACGCCAAACAGACGGCCGACTTTGTTAAGAACCTCAAAGTAAGTCCTATTCACATCAATGCTGTCAAAGCAAGCAACAGGAGAGTTAATGCTCATCCAAACCGTCCAATTCTTAGCCCAGTTTGGCAGTTGAAGTCGGGGTTGTGCACATTGTTTATCGATGGTGTGCCATTCACCAGCCCTCCGCATTCTAGTTCGGGTCAACGGTGTGTTGATGTGCGTGGTTTGGGTAATCAGAGTCTGAAAGATTAATGTCTGAGCATGATTTGTGGACACCTGAAACCACGGTGTCGGGGAACCAGTTCAAATCTATACCACCTGTTGCTAGTAATTACATCAAACAGTCTACAACCAAAGAGGCCCTCCAATAAACCGGTTAAATACAGTCTTTTTACACCCCTTGATTTGAAAGTGCATTGTCCCTCTGTTTTCGTTTTAGTTGTTCCTCTTGGCTGAAAGTCTCGGTGGGTATGAGAGCTTGATTGAAATTCCGTAAGTGTTGTTTTATTGGTTCGCTGACTCTTTTTTGTGATTGGGTAGTTTAGAGTGTCATAGCAAAAAGAAGCCTGAACACCGCTGTTTATAGGACAAGTTTACACGTGCGATGTGTTTGTCGGGTTCTTGTGCGCACAAGGTCACGGACGTGAACAGTAGAGACCTAGTGGGTGGCCTAGTTAACGTTCAAATGTCTGGACGACGTGACGGTGTCTAGACTCGCGTTGACGTCGAAATTCAAATCAACCAACAACGATTCTTTTGGTTACCACCCAGGTCTCTGATGACGCATGCCTCAGTGCCCGAGGAGACGAGAAGGGTTCTCGGAATAACCAACAGCATGCTACGCCTCTCCGTGGGCCTTGAAGACTGTCGCGACTTGGCGAAGGACCTCTTCGACCAGCTGGAAAAGTTGTAAGCGGCAACTCAGTCTGCACCTGCTGCCTGCTCAATTTGACGAATGCGCATTGACACACGTGAACTTTTATCACATTATCCTTCTTGGAAATTGAGTGATTAACATAGTTGTCTCATCCTACTCGACTATTTGCAGCGTTTGGAATTGGACGAATTGCCAGGAATTGTGTCTGAGCGACCATAATTTGGTTTAGTGGTTAAAACTCAACATTCTCTTCTTGTTGAGTCAGTAATTTTAAGACCACAAATTTCGAGCACGATGTGGTAGAGACAGTGTAAATTTGGAAAACGAACTTTTTGTGTACCGTCATGAGCGCAAATCACGGATCTGTGTGCGCCAGTTGACCCAGGAAACACTTCCACAGATCGTTCACGCCCGCGGCAATCAATGCTGCTGTGGTGTGATGCCCACCTAAATGTCTTTTGAAGTGCTGAGAGCAGAGTATTGTCTTGACTTGGAAATGATCGCAATCGTGAAGAGCGTCGTTCGATTTCGTTGCTGACACGAACCACTGTGATTATAACAAGAACTAGTTGACCCCGTGTGGTATCTGCCAATAGCCTTATACTGGGGACTAATTTATACCGTGGTTTTGGACCAATCACAGACGTGACCTTAACAAATCGATTTGATTACACATCCAGGTCCACTTGGCAATTTAGGCAACCGTTCAAAGTGAATTAAGAAGCAGGACGCTTTAAGCGATGTAATTTATACACGAATGACTTGTTTGGAAGCCATTGACAGCAACAGCTTCCCTCATGATTCTCATGCATTCTACCTATCCAAACTTCGAGAACCAGTTCTAAAAAGTGAAGATATCCGTTTCTATATTTGATCAAAAGTTAGTGTTTTAAAAGAAACCGTTTGTGGGATCTGAAGCAGCGGGTGACAATGGGAACGCCAATTAGGCCTTCCCGTTCATAATGGCCAGCAGATGAGCTGCAACAGACAGGAAATCAGCACTCCAGACAGATCGTTGGAAGCAGTGGTGTGATACGTCACCCTCGACACCGTGAATTCTTGTGTCTCCTTGGACGCTGTTGACAAGGTCTTCGTCTGAAACAGAGGAATATCGATCGATGGATAAGTACACAAAGTTCTTGGAACAGTAGAATGCGTTTGGAGTTGAAGGCTAATACGAGGCCAGACAGAAAAAAAATGCTGACTTAAACTGACCAGTCAAATCGAGGAGAAGCGCTTCCAATTCAGCCTGCTCTTCCTGACCCAAGAGCTCAACCGCGGGGAATTTGACCGACGCGAGGTCCTCGCGCTTGTGTTCAACCTTTAGGTCCACGTCGAAGTAGAGGAAGTTGCAGATGACTTTGCCTGCGAGGCTTGCGATCTGCCAGTCGATTCCTGCGTAGGCGCGGATGATTTCAGTCATTCTGCAATTAGAGAGGCATAATAAAGTAGGATGGATCCGCTGCAACGACACCACAATCACGAAGCTTTCGAAAACACCGCAGATTCTCGCTGCAAGCAATACCATTTCAACGCCGCCATCGAATCAAGTTGACGACAAAAAAAGAAACAGACGCTGAGGCATACGTACGCTACAAACACACAACTAGGTGGAACAACGACCCTTAACAATTCGCATGACAAAATTCGACATTCGCCTTCACGTAACGTTCACTAATCACTGGGGCCAGTGATCCCCACACATTGACCTCATTCTCGTCCAATGGGATGACGAAAGTAGTCTGTGGTCTCATCTCAATTAAATGCACAAAGAAAACCCGTTTTTACCCGTAGACAGGTGGCTTTGTGCAGATTTCACCGCCAAACTGATTGCGTTAATCTGATAGGCTGAAAACGAACTGGCCAATCAATCCATCGATGCGCTTCCACCAATCGTAGAGACGGTGAGTAGAATAACCCGGTCATGCAATAAACTAACCGAACGTAATCGCTAAATTCTGAGATTAAGTTCAACAATAAATGTGATTAATGTGTTTTTAGAGAAAGGGGAAAATGAGTTGACTAGAGCGACAGCCTATACGTTAATGGTTGGAACAAATAGCGGAAATTTTCATACATTCGGGTGTGTGAATGCAGTAGAAAAACGCGTAATCAGCCAGTTAAATTCGTGATTTCTAAAAACAAACGCGAAATCCATTTAATCAGGACAGCCAACTGTGAGTAAGGACATTTGCGCATGTTCCTAGACGCCGTTAGAAGTGGCTTCGCTTGCGATGACATGGACCGCGGTTGAGGTAATGTTTGTACTCGGAAGGAATCTAAATTCGCCGGAATCTCTACGCAATCAATCGTTTTTTTGAGGACAGCTACTTAACTTCGTGTGAAGGTCACGACGAGAAGGATTTGCCTCTCATAGTTAGTTCGTGTAACTCGATTGATCTGTGCTCTTAATGTGGTCATCGAAATGAGGAATCAGTGGTTGAGGAGCAAAAAGGGTGTGTTTCGACTTATCTGATCGATTGTCTGGCTCGACAGAAGCCGACAATCTGTCAGCGTCCCTAGGCGCACCACCTATGTGGTCTGAATGAGAACATTCAACAAAAGCCATATGATCTCCACAAGCAGGTACACTCGCAGTACGGTAACACCCCTCCAAACGTTGAACAAATCTGATTGGATGGTTTCGACGCCCTTTCTGCTCCGTTTTGACTTCGCTCCGTCAGAATATTGCGATCGCTGCTGGCGTTGTGGCGGGAATTAATCAATCTGTACGAGGACGTCGTGAAAAATGTCTGGGAACTAAAAAGTGGTCGACACGTCTTTCATTTTTCTTGAAGAATCTTTGATGAAAGAGAACGGGCACTCTGAAACCCACTCACTTCTGGAAACCTCGGATTTCGTAGAAGTCGTGCCAACACGGCGACTCCAGCATCAAGTTGACGAGGACTCCAAGCGCACAGTAGACGAGGTCGTCGCGCGAGTAGTCCACCAGAGGCATCAATCGCCCCACGAGGTTGGTGGCGTCTGAATTTGTGGACGATTCTTGGAGGAGAGCCGCTCTAGTGGCGGGATGGCGAGTCAAATTCCCGAGAACTCGCACGCAACCCAGGCAGACATCAGCGTGGACGTAAAATTGATTCAAGAGCCGTAGACATGCTTGATAAACGAAAATAGTCAAAAGGTTGCTTACGTTTGCCTAAATAAATGACATTGTATTTTCAAGACGTTTATGGTTCCAAAACACCTACTTATATAAATTAAGTAGCTGGAAATTCTTCACGCCCACGTACAGCAATCAGACTGAAATGGCAAATTAAACAAACGCTATGATACCTTTATTGATGATCTTCTGAAAAGAAAGCAGCTGCGGCCGCTCATCCAAATTCATGTGAAAGGTGATATTGTTGAGTCCAGCCAGGCTATTTTGCAGTAACTCTTCATCTTCACCTTTGCATAAACCTACAGCAAATAACAGCAGCTTAGATGTGCAAACAGGTTGGTAAAAATGAACGTTTTGCATACTACTAATTATAATGAGTAGGAGTTGTTTTTTTTTCACTTTGAAATTGGGATTGTACCGATGCTAGCTATCAGGTGTGAAGGCAACAGGTAATAGATTACTTGAAGCTTAAAACCGTTTCAATACGAGACAAAATAGACTTGCACGCTATTTCCAACAAAAGCGTGATGCATTCGGGAACAATGGACGCGAGGTAGCCGACTTCAGCGCCGATGGTAGCGTTGGCAATTACGCGGGTTAGTTTGACTAAAACGTCATTGGCTGATGAATGTGCGCCACCGACAAAAGGCTGGTTCGTATAGACTACTTCTTTCTCTGCTATAAAAGGACAAATTAGAATCCGCATTCAGTTACTTCAACAACACGAAGCAAGGGAAGAAATAACCTTCTGAAAGAGCGTTTCGCCTGAGTTCAATGGAATATCGTTGGCATAGTTGGCAGATGTCCTTCAGGACTTGTCGACTCGAGAAAATCGAGCTTCTAGCGTCATTGCAGCGGGCAGCTATATTGCCGAGGGCGTAAGCAAGCCGTATAACGAAATCCTACAAAGGAAAACACAATGCTCTACTGATAAATTATAAGTAAACATGATATTTGAAAATCGAAACTTACGGGTTCATCGCTTCGAAGTAGGATGAGACGCACAAAGTCCCGGCAGTAATCAGTCAAGGCGTCTTCGGTTAAGTAGGAGCAAATGAAGGCATGTTCGGTCGCGTGAGCGAGCACTCTAGCCCAATTTAAGCAGACTTCGTTTCGAATAGAAGGCGACGGTGATTGTGGGTTGTGTTGTGAAAGACCCCTTAACACGCACTTGATGACGCCGGAATCAACAACCAAGGATTTCCAGTCTTCGTTGAAATTGGATGAGGCGATCACGCAAAATATCTCCGTAATCTTCAACAGATTTAAGGGTTAAAAGTAATATAATGATCATTGCTACTTACATGTTGTAAGTAGTTATTTACACAAATGTTCAGCAGACGTGCTGCGACGGTCACCCACCTGTAATAGCACGTAGTAGATGTTCTCGGCAATTACGTCAAAACCTCCTCCAGTTTCCACTGCACAACGCTTGTCAAGGTCATGTGAGAACGATTCAAGCGTCGTGTGAATGCTGCTCAACGCCTGGAGCATCGACGGTGTCCGGAAAGTGGAGCCTGTGACAGACGAAGCGGCGAGAAATTTCAGCGCACCGCAGACATAGAGAAGGGACTCCAGCGCGGTGGAAAGTTGGCCACGGGTCACGTCAATCAGCGGGGAAAGCGGACGAGTTTCGCCTGTGAAGAGGTTCAGGTCGCCCAACACACCGCAAATGTGGTCTAGAGGTTAAATGGATTCACGACATCACTAGAGCTATAGATATCGTTGAACCAATGTCCGGAAGCTACAATGAGGGAGGCAACAATTACCCGTTTCTTTTGAGCAAATTTCGGCTCTACTACGTCATGCGTTACCGCTGCAAAATTACAACCAATCAACCAGTTGAGATGAGGCTAACTGCAAAGCAGAGAAGTGTAAATTATCAACTCACGGCTAAAACTTTTGTCTTCAATGAACAATTCATCGTTTTCTGGTTCCTTGGAGACACGGTAGATGAGCTTGCAAACACGAATGAGGTTGGCGCCTTTCACACGAAGCTAAAACAACAACAGCACATTTGAATGAGCTACTTCAAGGTTGTTGCAGAGGCTGAAATGTCATTGGTCGACTCACCGAAATTCCCAAGTCGGCGACCTTCAGGCGTAGTCGTGGACATCTGCGACAAGCAGCAAGGCTCAGGAGTGTGGAAACAATGTCCTTGTAGAGGTTTGTATCCTTCACCACAAAATTCGTGTTCTTTAGACGCGCTTTGATGCGATCTAACAAGTTGAAAACACACGCGAGTGTAGCTTCCTCGCAGTTTGCGGTGTGAGATGATTCCTCTAGCACAACGTCGTGTTCTGAATCGTTCGAGTCCTCGTCTGGCCGAGGACGCCTGACTGACGCGGTGCCCTTTAACCGTGAGCTCGCACCAATGAGCGAATCGAGGAGCGAGCGCAACTCAAGGCCATCGGTCTCTGATTGGCGGGCATCAGCACCTGAGTCCAACTCAGAGCATGCTTCCACCAGGGAGGTGTTTGAAAGTTTCTTAAATAGCAAGTTTGGAGTGAAATCATCAATGTGTGGATTGAAAAACTAACTAAATAAGCCAAAATCCCTATTCATAGCGGTGACAGTCAAACACAAGCCTCTCACTTCCGAATCCCGCTTCTTTTCCACAGCCCGACGCGTGAGAATGGAAGCAGGAGAACGTCCAGGAGGCGACTTGGACAGTCCTCTGATCTCCGATTTAAGGGGAGAAAGAAGCGGTGGTTTACACCGAGAAGTACGCACTTTTGGAGAGACTTGGCTACAAGAAAACAGCCTTGCATGTCTAATTACCTGATGTTTGAAAGACGCAAAGAAGCAGGATAATTAATTTACCTCCCCGAATGCGCCTCTGGCTTTGTCGGAGGTCGTCGAATCTGTGGTCCTCGGTCTGAAATGAACATGAGACACACTTTTGATCCAAAAACCAGGATTAGGAGACAAACGCAAACACGTAAAACTTGGTCGACAATTTTCGACTGCACCTTTGGCTACATCGATAAACGCACTCCCCAGATTGTTTTCGTCGGCAGCTACCTGAAGAAGATACATAGCAAAATCTACGCCAAGTTGTAGCGGAGAACAAAATAATCACGGTTGTTAGATTAAAGCGAGTTAGAGAACTGACCAGCAATCAGTTGAGAGAGGTCACAGGCTAACATTAACGCAAAGAGAAATCTTCGTAATCTGTGAGCGGATAAATCAGATTATTTTCCCATGTTCATCGCTATTACCATTTACAAAAATTTACCATTAAGAGAATTCATCACAGGCTAGAGTTAACTATTAGAGGAAAAAAGGATTTCAGAATTCATGCGAATTTGCGATGTGTCTTACATCACGGCCACGATCACATGCCTCCTCATCGTGTTCACTTGATTCGATTGTTTCCGCTGTAACTGGGCGAGATTTGGGCAAGTTTTTGTTTGAAAAAAGCGACCGATTGGCTTCTCTCGGCGTGTAGGGTCGTTTGGTGCCGACGGTGTGAAGCCAATCGCGACATTCACGGACAATCTCCGCCGATGATGGCTGCTTTTTGGGTGGAAGGTAGAAGGGTCTGAGAGAAGGGCGGGAGGCGTTCGGGGTTTGCATTTGTCGACTAAAGTAACCCTAGCCCCGACCTAAACATATTTTAGAAGTTAAAAGATGCTTATTATACGACGAATATTTCAGTAGAGGTTAGCAGAAAATCTGATGCCAAGGCTATGTGTAAATAGTGCGGCGACGAGGATATTACCACGTAGGTGGTACTGTTTCCATCTTTTAAAAAAGCTGAATTGATTTAGACTTATACAAAAATCGAGCAAGGCTTTAGTATCTATGATATTATCACCGTTCCTAAAAAAAAATTCAAGTAGAAATGACTCGTTGTATTTGGAACATAGAAACAACAAATTAAGAAAGAAGTGCAATAGTTTTAGCAGAATGCAAAAAAGAGAAGAATATACATGCACTCAATAACTTTTTCTCAGAATTTTTTTCCAAAGTTCATATAAGAGTTAGCTGCTCGTAAAATATGGTATTTACACAGTTATGTCGACAACAAACCAAAGTAATATTCAAACACTCAGAACGCTAACGAAAACCAACCTAATATATAAAATGGTTTTAATTAGAAAGAAATTAAGAAATTTCGTAGAATAAGAAGGCTTTTTAATAGAATAAGCAAATCATTTTTACAGAGACGAAAAAATAATGTGAAAAAAAAACATTTTAGTGAGCAACCATATTTAATTAATAAAATGCATCGGCGACTTTCCATGTTTATACACGAAACTCAAATCAGGAAAGAAATAACATAAGCATATGAAAACACTGCATGCAATAATTTGATCTCTAGGCTTACTTCAAATGGGTACCATCAATTAGACCGATTGAATGACCGCCGTTATTTACCCACATTTATCACATGTTCTAAGCAAAAATGTGCAATTTCTAATTTAAAAAATAATTTTGTTTGTTTTTTAAAATTGAATTGTTTTAACTGTTGATATTAGTGATAGTAGCTGTGATTTTTAAATTTCAAGGTCTAGTAATTGTTGTAAAGCAAATTTTTTTTGTCTAATGTTTTCACTGCACTGATATTTGAAACAGCGTTACTTGCAGAATGTTTCATTTTAAAAGAAACTAGGTACAAAGAAGTAGTATTTAACCATCGCTTGCCAGCTTTGATTTTTAAAATTTCTGCTAGTGTCTCGAAAAAATTTTGTTTTATGATAGCTTTTTTTAAGTACCTGTCAGACAAAATTGATAGCACGTTTTTTTTGCACTTTGCTTTTTAATTCTTATCAACCTTCATTCATCCTGGATCATTTTAGGACGGGTCTCATTAATTTGCTATGATAGATAAACGCTTAATATGCCTCCAGCAGCTCATTGAGTCTTATCAAAACTCACAATATGACCCAACCGAGGATGGTCCTAGGTATATTCTCAAGATGATGAGAAAAGAATATGAATATAACAAAAGGTAACTGCCTTTGAAGCCGATAATATGTAGAATTGAGTATGCACCATGATTGACAGAAATGTTTGTTAGGGCTTTGATAACCAAACGTAGATGAGCATCTAATCAATTTGATGTTAATTGTGGTAGTGTTAGCTTTCTTTTGATTAGCAACAGCTCAGGCAAAATGACATGCTAAAAATTGTTTTAAATTGAAGTTAATTTTGACGTATGAAACAGAAGGCTGGTGTTTTTTGTTGTCACTGACCTTCCTCTGACAACTGCATATTTTTACCTTCTGACGCATCTCTGTTACTCTGTTTACAAAATAACAGTCTGGAAGAAATTAAATGGATTTACTTGAAAGTGTGTGGAAATAACTTCCGTGAAACCTGCTATCGCCTGAGAGACCGTGAGATACCCTCCCTCTGTGCGTCGCTTCTCAATGTGCCTGTTATCAACAGTCTAGATCTGCGTTACAATGAACTCACCAATGAGGGCGCCATAACATTGGGAAATTTCCTTAAAGTATGTGAAGTCATGAAATACACAATGCCATTTCAAATTGGTGAGTAGCACCAAACTTTTTCCCCGTTTTAGAATGATCGATGTTTGAAAGAACTTAATTTAATGGGAAACAATATAACAGCAGATGGGGCCAAAGAGCTAGGTATTGCACTAAAGGTACGTAGTAATTTCTGTGCACTCTCATTCGTTTCTACTTTTTTGCTGGTAAGCAGGTGAATTGGGAGGCCAGTAGTGTTAGAGGATCAAAAAAATTTGTCATTTTTGCTTCCTTCTATCATTTTAGTTGAATCACACCTTAAAGATACTTAAAATGACTGGAAATCCTATTAAGCGTGAAGGTGGCATTCACTTGGCCCACGGTCTACAAGCCAATAACACGCTCACCCACCTGGATGTTGGGGAATGCGACATGGTAGGTTGCGACACAGATGACTCTATTCACCATCAGTCTCTTGCTGAGTATGTCTTCATTCAATTTAGTGTATTCTCACTAGGACATCGCCAGCGCGATTGCGTTTGCCACCGTCCTGCGAACAAACAACTCACTTCTCTGTTTCAACATCAACAGACTCCTGTTGTTCACGCATCAGGAAGAACAAACGGTGCATATGTGGGAAATGCTATGCGTACGTTCATTTAAAAGTCAGGCGTTTCGGATGCATTAGGGACTCATCTGCAGGTTTCAATCAGCCTGCTTATCTCTGATACTGTTATTTGGTGCCTTTTTCGTGTAGTTGAACACCACCCTGACTGAACTGCATCTGGCAAAATGTGACATGCGCGACTTCGGCGCCAAGCGACTTGTGGACGCTCTAGAACGCAACAAGACCATCCAAGTGCTGGACGTGAGTGCGTAAGTCTGCTACTTCTAATGTTGCAAACCCTTTGTAGCCTTATCAGTTTTCATTTTTATCGTAGAACCCGTCAACGCTAGTCTATGACTATTGGTTTAGGTTGAGCTTCTGTGACTCAATCGATTCAGATTGGTTAACTCTGCTAGCACTTGCCATTCTGTTCATTATTAGAAGATAACTTGTATACTTTATTTTAGAAAAGCAGTGTTAAAATAAGTTGGAATTTCGTACTACCAAAATACAGCCCTATTTTTTCACAGAAATCGGATATCCTCAGATGGCGCCATCGCGTTTGCCCGTGCCTTGCGTAATCGCTGTTCCCTCACCGTCCTTGACCTGTCATTCAATCGCATCCAAAATGAAGGTGCAATTGCCCTTGCAGAGGTTTTGAAGAAGCACAACGACCGTTTAATCGTGTGAGTTGAATTCACCTGCTTATTGGCCTTGAAGTTTTTTGCTTTGACGCAGAAATATCAGTCGAGTTCGCTTGTTTTAAACCTTACTTCTAAGCAGCGCCTCTTTTAACCAGTTAACTGCACTCTGAAATTGTTTAAGTTCACTAAAAATCTACAACATACGCGGAATTTTGAATTCTCACATAGGCTAGCATTGGCGTCCAATGAAATTCATGAAAAGGGACTATGCGCGTTAGCAGATGCCCTGCTTGACAACGACCACCTTCGATATATCTACCTTTGGGGAAATGACATCAGTGACAAGGCCGCAGCAGTAAGTTCAACTTAACTTTTTAATGCCATGGCAACCCAAGTTTCCATATTTGCGCTTTTGAAATTCATCGTTATCATGTCACTCCGGGTCCAGGAAACCACTTATGTGCCGCATCTAAATAAATTATCTACTTCTTTTATATCAGTAGCATGTTTATAATTTTATTGTTTCAAAGGCATGGGGCCATTTGCAGACAATAGGACGTCTTCGTGAGGATTCTACGGACTTGAGGCCCTACAAGGTGGACGGTGTTGTGAAGATGGCGATGTTGAACAATGACTGCGATTACCGTCGCTATCGGTTTGCCGTGCCGTGGTGGGGTCCACAGGCGCCTGAAGATCGATCGGTTGCTCTGTTTTAGGACTCCAATAAAGTTATTTCTTCCTACATTTTAATCATTGCATTAACCTACACTTGATGGATATCTTCGGGAGTTTAATTAGTTCCTTTAAATTGGTCAAAAAAAAAATGTTAACAGATTTATGATTATATGAGATTACAACTCACTTAATGCTGCTAATGTCCATGTCTGTCGTAGCTGATTGGATTATGAATAGCCAATGAAATGCCGTATTAGCCAAATTCGCTGACTATTGTAGAATACCCGAGCCCTAATAGGTAAAAGACCGGTACAACAGAACATGCTTTATTGACCAATCAGAAGCCACAGTCACGCGTCAGGCGCCTTCCATCCGAGTCCACCACGCTGGCCACGCCACTCATTATATACTGCATCTCATCCATGTCCTTCTCTGGTTGGCTGCCTTCCTTTCCCGCATGCCGTTGGATCGCAGAGAGACACGGGATTGGCTGAGGCCAGGTGGTCCAACATGTCTGCGCCCTGATCCGACGCCACACTATGTGGAAATGCAGCTGCTTTAAAAGCAGAAAAACAACGTCTAGAAGCTTTTAAGGTGCTCGAAACTGAAAAAAATTAATGGTTTCTTGTGTCTGAACGCCATAGACTACATGAGATTTTGAAATTATGAAATTGCTAACCTTCAGGAATCACCGTCTTCTATTACCAGGGCACTTGGGGATTGAAACAAAAGAAAACGCCAAAAATAAAGTCAGATCATATATTCTTGTTTAACAGACCGTTAAGTTGTTGATGATGAAAAAATTTAATAATTTCGCTTCACACCGAAACACTTAAATGCATTCTTTTTTGAATTGAAAAATTCAGCTAATCAGCATTTTAACAACCGCGAAAGGGTGTACCTTAGAGTCTGCAGCGCTTCAGCGCTGTCGAAATGTCGTGATCTGCGATTTCTTGCGCATGAACATCTACTTCGGCGATATCGTTCAGTGGAGACAAATCACTGTCATGCATTACTATTTCTCCGTTATCTGAGACAACCTCTACTGAGAGGCACATTCTGCACCAATAGAATTGTCCAATGCTGTTGTCAGTTATTCGCCTTAGCGTCAGAAGTATTTGAGACATACACACATTTGCTCACGGATTTTATTATTTATTACATCATTTGGGTGACTCATTCTGTGCAGCGTAATCGTTGTGTGAGTCAACGAATTTAATGTTTAAATTTGTACCCGTAGCGTCGAAACGATAAGTTGCTGCTTTAGTGCAAACATTTTAGGTAAAAAATTGTCGATAAATGTGCATCATTGCTAAATCGTGCTTAGGCACTGAAGATTTGGCTAGAGTATTTTCACGTGATCGCGAAATCAACAACCACTTATTTTAAACAGTTAAATTGTCTGAAACATTAAAGTAAGAGTTAATTGTGCCTTCAACGTTGTTGAAAGGCTAGCATTCTGTAATAAAAAAATGAATGTATTAGTTTATGTTAATGTGAGATGAAGTCATTTAGACGAGGTTTTTCACTAGCCAATGAAAGTGCGAGGTAACCGAGGACCAATAGTAAAGTGGACAAATTAACCTATTTTCCAACATCCCTCTGTAAATTGTCATTTAAAAGTAATGCAAACACGGACGATCGATTTGCTTAACCTCTCTCGCGCTTAATTCATGCATTCTACCCTGATGACTTTGTCGCATGAACCTTGGTTTGATAGCTGATTTACCAAACCTGGGGCAGATGACGTCAATGTAATCTCCGCTGACACGAGGCAAATCTTTTAAGTTTGACTCTTCCTCTTGCCGCATTTCTCTCGTTCCTGTTGTTTTTCTCTCGCTGTACTGTTGCAAAATGTGAGATGTGATGTTGATGTTGATCCACGCTCGACTGCATTTTCGATCTCTTTAATGAGGTCGGTGTGTGATGTTTCATTTAAACAGCAATTCTTGATGTCCGACACTTGTAAATACACCTGAGTTTTTATTTGGATCAATGTCCTTCTATCGAGTAATCTATCACCAAATCTTCAATGGTGTCGGTTGGGTACCTCCAAATTTTTTCAACGCCTACCAATAAAACCACAATCTCTAGATATATATGACACACTGGTAAACAGATCAGTTATGTGTCATTGTTAAAAAAAAAGAGAAATTAAAAACCAAGTATTTGAGGAGCAACAGATCATTCTTTTTTAGTCGATGCACAAAAAAAGCGGAAAGTTAAAGCTGTGCATGCGTGTTAACATCGATGATCTTAGCAAGTAATATCTGTGATTGAATTCACATTAATTCCTGAAAATTCAGGGTCAATATGGCCATGTTAACCAGTTGCACAAATTGCGAGAGAGGATCTGAAAGAGCGTAAAGCAAACCAGGAAAGTAAAGGGCAAATTCCAGACAAAATTCCGTGCGTCATATAACCAGTTTTGTTTATTATGACTTAAAGTTCATAAAAAAACATGCTTATTATTAGTGATTTTTCAATTATCATTAGGTATGGTGAATCAAAATTAGTGATATGAAATATCTGCTGCTGCCTTTTATTGCCATTCGTAAGGTTAATGAGTTAAAGAAATACATTCAGTTAGAGTTTAATATATGTGTAACCAAAAAAATAAATACGATGAGTTAATATAGTCACTAGGAAATAAATGCAAGATAAGTCAAATGCTGTTGTTTGGGATTTTTTGAGGTTTAATCAAAAAACAGTACTAATCCAGGACTGAAATATTTCGAAAAATCCCACGTACGTACGCAATACAAAAATAGAATTATCTCAATAAACTAAAAGCCTCTTGACGGGGACTCACATTCAATAACAGTAACCTCTTTTTAAAAAAGTGTTAGCTATAGCTATACTCTAACACTTAAATATTTGGTTGTTAAAAAATGGGATCTTCAGGCAGCAATTCACAAAAAATTGACATGTCGAAATGAATCACTTTAGCAAATTTTGCCCAGTAACAGTGCTATTTGTGGTGGTTAACAAAGTCCATTGTACGATCCAATTAGCTTTTAAAAAATGTTGCAATAGTGCTGTTAATCCAGGCTTAAGGCACGAGCACCTACGGACAAGATTATGCGCATAAACTGCTCCTAACGAAAAAAATTTATCCTGATTTTATTTGACAAAGAATTAAATCATTTTCTAATGCTCTAAAACTATGAATGCAAAGGAAAATCAATTTCGATAATTGAGGCCTAATGTCAACATAATTTCACCATTTATTTGCAATGATTTTTTGAAAAGGAGACTTTGCATATTAATTAAATTATCAAAAAGTGCTTTTGATAAGAAGAAAAATTATAGGAGACATACGTATGTCTTGACATTACCTATTTCAATGCATAGGTTTTAATTACACACATTTTTGTGTTTCTTCAAGGTGACTATATTATTCATTATGGCGTTTCGAGAATCTGATTGGTTCGGACGGCTAGGCCATTCCTAATTTATTCGCACCATTTCAAAAGTCAAGTTGAAATATGGCATAAACGTTGTAATATGGGAATATGAAGGGATGCGCGTGCTTTGTTGTGTGTTTTCACTGTTGATTGCATCATTATTATGTGTCAGGACCTCACTTAGTGGTGTCAGGCCGAGAAAATGTAAGTCAATATGCCTAAAAGTGTAGCTTGCTTCGCTTTCAAAATTAATTCAATCGATTTTATTTGTCTGAACTATAAAACAACCTCTTTGCAGTAGTTTTATTTGGGGGCATTGACAGGCGCTTTTGATATTTTATGAGTTAACTGGCCATTTGATGTAAATTTTTTATTTGCCACTTTTATTTTAAATTTATAATGTTGCGAACATTTGTGGGTTTTGAGTGACATTACACGCATTTTAGAGTACGTTTCTCTACTATTCACATATTATGGATGAAATATATGGTTCACCTTCGGTTCCTGCGGAAAACATCTTTCTAGTTTCCTTGACATACTCTGAAATAGTTGGTTTCTGTTTTTGGTCTTAAATTTGGACATAATTTTGTCTACAATATTTAAGTTGAAAAAGCTTTCGTAAGGCTTTTCATTTACTACTTTCTAGGTTAAAATGCTAACTGTATGTCGATGACTTCTCCTTTGGGTATAATTGGTTTCATTGTAATTTTTATGGACCTTAAAAACACCGCAGTCACTCTATCCTCGTTGTTGTAAATTACTTTATTGTGACTTTAAGACATCCTTACGAGGGATTGTGCATTAATGCCGACCGCGATTGTTGGTCTTGAAGAGCAGCACACCAAGATCTTGCGAATTGATGATCTTGTCGGAGGCGCCGTTATTTACTCCCATGACTTCGAATCGGTTTCGCAAGTCAATTCCACAACTACCTTAATATCTCAAAACGCATTTTCTCGTTATCCACTCGGCTTTTCCTGCGAGGTTGTCGTTCACGCGCCAATCGAAAACGGGCGGATTATGCTCACAATTAGCTCCTTTTTTATACCCTCCAGTGATCGAACCTGTAAAGATGATTTTCTTTATGTTTTTGACTCCAATACTGCCCGATCAAAGGCTATGGTAAGTGCATCGCTTATTACTTCTCTTTCAAATTATGTAATCTTGTTCACAAATAGACTTTTTAGCCTTTTTCTGTTGGTGCTTTAACGCAAATTGCCAACTATTTAATAGTTGTGATTTCTTCAGACAAACGATAACCTGATAAACATTTAGTTTAGCACTTTAAAATTCTTATCTCAGTACATGCGTTGTGAATTATCAATCCTCAGTGAAATTAAAACGGGCAGCACTTGGTCAAATTCTTTTGCGGTGAAATTCGAATGGATACCTTTTTTTATAGAACTAAGTTGCTGTCGGTTGCTAATTTCGTGTGTCTTTGTCCACCTACTTGTCTGTCTTGTAAATAGAATGGAACGAAATTGCAAGGACACAACGTCACGCCTATTAATTGTGTAATCTGCTACTGTTAATTGGATCCATGCATCGTTTCACCAATTTGTTGTTATAATCTTAAAAAAATCCTTTCTTTCTGGTTCATGAACAAGATGAAAATGCAGCATCCCAATAGATCAAGGGTTATTTACTGTGTGGAAGAGGCTTGTCAAGCTGTGGATTCACTAACCCCCCTGGAAATCAGGTCAATTTTGTTGAACAGTCGTGTTCAGACTGCGAGGTTGGTGAGCTTAGAGCTGTCGATCCATTGTCTGGTTTGACACAAGCACTTTGTGGTGTAGGAGACCTTCACAGATCCACCACACTCAGCGCATCGTCCAGCGACGAGGAAAATCCTGTCCGCCAGGAGGCGTCAACCGTTCTTCAAGCGTCATTGGTTTGCAATGTCCACCTTTAAATCAAGCGTACTGCCACACCACCCATGCCAGCGTTTATGTTTAATTGCAGAATTGGCTTTTCAACTCCATTTAGCACGATGACAGTGATGAATACCGTTGGGATAAAGTACAAGACGCTCACGCCTCAATGCTCAGCGTGAACTTGGGCAGCATTTCTTGGCCCACATGGTGCTACTTCCCGTTTGTCGCAGTAAATTTGCGCACATCCACTCGACACACTGGCCGAATTATTTACGCGGTTTTTTGTGTGTCTTCGGGTGACAATCAGTGCCTACCTGAGTATCGCGTTGCCAATCTAATAGCTTGGTGAATGCAAACGTTTAGACGGGTGTGGTGTATGACGTTTCCTCACTATGAACACGGTGCGATAACTTTGACGTTGAGAAGGCCAGCCGTTTGCTTATACGAATCACCCACACAAACGCTAGGGATATTTAAAAGTAGCTTGGGAATAGCCAGTGAGGTGGGGGAATTGGGGTATTTTCTGGTACAAATTTTCCTTGAACCATTTTTAGCTAGCCTTTTTCGTTACAGCGACTTTTTTTCTCATTTGACTTTCCATTAAAAGCAGCCGTTCAAATCTTCTAATCTCTGGCCTATACGGTTATTTGTAGCTTAACTTGTGCTAGGCGGTTTAATGAGTGTAAAACTAAAACAAACATTTGCTGACTCGTGTAATGCGTGTTTGTATGTGGATCCTATCATCAGCATTATTGTCATGGGTCGTTTGAATGACTGTGTGCGTTCTTTTACGTGTTGCTGTGGTCGATCCGACAGAACAACAGATTTGCTTGAATTTATTACGGCCATTAAAATCTAGACCTTTTGAAATACGGAAGGCGGGCAGTGTAATTTCACACGCAATTAACCTTCTCTAATGGCGAAAAAAGCACTCCTTTTGGTTTAATGTGCGTGTAATTTTTGCGTATTTTTAGCCAGAAGCCGGTGGCGAACAGGGTCTCTGCCTCTCTCATTACCCCAAAATACCCGTCGTCTCGTCTAGGTCCTACATTTGCATTGCATTTCAGTAAGTCGATGGCGTGGTTTTGATTCGTTGAATTGAATTTTCACGCCAAAAATCGTTGAATGCATTCAAATTTTAGTTTCCAGCCAATCAAATCTCCGTTTTACATCCGCCATTACATCCTCGTTGGTCTGTTGTGTATCGGTTAAACTCGACTAGTGTTTACACCAAGGAAGGCTAGGGGTTTTTTTCACACGTTGTTTGTCACATTGGTGTTTTTTGATGGATGCTTTGGTTCTGTGCAAAGTTTCGTCGTGGTTGGCCGTGTTTACTGGCGTCTGACCTTGAAGTCGTTTTTTGGAATTCAAGAGATCACGGTTCAAGCCACTCTGACAATGCTCGTGCCGTAGAATGTTGGGGACCAGCTTTCAGAATAAAATCTACACCTGCTCTCATTTGACAGGTAGTTGAAAAACGTTCCCTCCATGTTCTCACCGGATGGTTGAATAAGGGTTTGCCAATTAAAGCTAATGTTATTCACCAAACACTCTGCTTCCTCGCAAAACTTGAAACCAACTTTTCACATTTTCACACCAATTTTGCGCTTGCAGTTTTGATTTCCCTCCGGTTTATGGAGCAGTTGCATCATCGAGCGCCGTGAAACATTTGTTTTAATGTTCCCCATCGACACTGCAGCAGCCATTTAAATCGTTTTAGGGATGCAATTTGTCATACATAGAACGAATTTTCACCCATTCTGGCGATCCACCGAATCTTGTTTCTGCTATACCCATAAGTACAAATCAGGCGAGAATCATTTGCACGCATACACGCTCTGTGTGTTTGCCAGTTCTCCTTCAAAAACGATGCGTACACGTTTTTTCCGGGTTGGTGCCTGTGGTGTTTTGTTATCCCCAGCTACCTCTTGGCTGTGAAGATGTCATTTCCTGCGACAGCACTCCATGCACTTTCTGTAGACGATTTTGCCGAACAGAGAGGTTATTGATGCGTCCTTGGGTTCGTTGTGTAATTCCTTATGGTCATAAATATCGGGGAACGAGTCAAGCAAGTGGATGCTAGACGCCCTCAACTAGATCTTTCAAAGCATTCTTTAAATTAGTCTTTGTCAAGGTCTTGTGGCGCCTGTCTTATGGACTTCCATGGACTGTATGCAATAACTTCTTCGACACTTTGATTGCTTTCAAAGTTGCAAAGGCACTTCGCTCTCCAAATTCTTTGAAGGTCTTCGCACGAATTTGTTAAATACACATTGTTCAGGCACCAGTCGTTGACTATTTGTCTCTATCGCTTCTGTAACCGGTATTATTCTGGGAATTTGTGGATATTAGTGTTGGGCTTTGTCTTCAAAAGATGGTGGCCAATAAAGGAAGCGATTAATTACATTTTCTAGCCAATGACTGGAAAATGTCTGCAGCGCATTAATTTCTTGAATATCTCGGAGCGCAGTAGCACACGGTGTTCAAGAAATCTAAACGTGTGCACGGCAAAAAACACATGAAGGTCAAACAGTTGCACGTTTGGTGACTTTCGATACGATATTCCTGCGATCCTAACGAATTCCTGCATTTATTTCGCATCTAGCACTTCGAATGCACCGATGCTGCGCTTTCCTCCAACCGAAACAATGGTTCCAGGCTTTAAAATCGTCGTCACGGCCTTCCAAGAAAGTGAGTTACATTCTCTCACAAACCCATCCTCCTCGCGCTATTTTGGCGGAATAGCGGACCCTGTCGTGTCGCCCAGCCATGCCTTCTACCCTAGTCGTGTAAATATTCCGTATTTTCAGGGTTTTTCTGCCTGAAGCGATACCTAGGCGTCGCAGTCAACTCTTTTCAAAGTGGCGTGTGCTGAAATGTTTTCGAACCCGCTGGTTTTTTGCTGTGCCAACGGCTACGACCAAAAACCAGAGCGATAAGACACCGTCAGTTGTTGTTCTGACGTCTTGGTTTGTGGCTGGCGTTTTTCTCTAGTTTGCCTGTGCGTTTGGTGGTGTGTGTGTGTGTGTGTGTGCGGGCGAAGTTGATTCTTTGTCTTTTCGTTCTTCGCTTCACACCTTCACGTCGACTGGTTACAACCAGGTTCCACCGTGTCCGATACTTCAAGTCTGCCTCCAAAATCGATATTGCCTCACTGTCTAAATCAAGACTGCCTTTTGGATCAAATCTTGGCTTTACATAACTCCGACAAATTGCAGGGACGTTACATGTATTACACACACACGCATACGCATGCAACGTTTAAAAATCACGTCAAGCAAATTTGATTGGTTAAGAGTTTGGGCTTGAGTTGGATGCTTCACTTAGCCCAGCAGAACAATATTTGCAATTTGCATCGTAGACACGTTAAGATAGTCCATTTTTCAAGTGAATCATCGGTGGCGACGAAAAGTGGATTGTTTAAAGGCTCAATGAAGTCCAATTTTCATGAATAAATAATTGTGCTGTCAACCTGCTGGCGATATCAATGGTGTCGCGCATTTTAAGCGCCTTCAAGCAGACACAATGAACTGTTAAGCCTTGGAGTCAGTGTTTCTTGCACATTTTCAAATTTCTCGAAAGCATTTGTTTTTAAATTTAAGTCTGCAATCACCGTTTCCAAGGCGACGAGTTAATCTGACACTTTTTCAACCATCAAACTTTCCACTTAAGTCGATTTTACTGTGATTTTAAGTTAGCGTTTTTGACCAATTCTAAATTCACACTGAATTCTGAAAATTTCGCCTATAAAATTGACCGTAAGGATCTCCCAGAATGTCAAAAACAGTCGATTTTCCGAATATTCGGCAGGGGGTAAAACGCCTGTAAAGCGTCTCCTTTTTGAGACAGTCAGCAGAGATGTTCAGATTTTTGCCGTCACAAAAGTGGACAACTCGCTTAGTAATATCGATTACTGTAGCACTGTTGGCGTCTAGACCATCAGACGTCTACACCTGTCGAGCTGCTTCATTTCCCATCAAAAATAACTCGTAATGGTTTTCCACTAAAGTGGAGTTGGGTTCGTCCGTGCATCGAAATATCAGAGTGCCACGATCAGCCTTGCCATTTCGTGTGCAAATGCCTAGCCACATTGGCCGTCCATAAACTCGGTGATTGCAGCATCAGCGGTGTGTGTTCGCGTATGCTTACACGCACAAACACACCGTAGTTCCTCGTCTGCTGTGCCATTTGGTCCTGCCAAGACTGCGATTGTACAAGTTACATCTACAAACCGCCTTCCCTACCCCTATGTTGGCGTCATTTTCTTGAATTTCGCGTTTGTTTTTGTGTTTGGCGTGACCTAACGACCGGACAATCTCTCAAACGAGTTTGGCTCAATGCTAGCACGCCATTGGTTATAAGCTTTCCGTGCAATTGGGGGTCCATTTTCAATCGTAAATGGGCTTAGGTTTCTGTCAGATTAGTTAGGTTTGAGTTAATCTTGGATTTTGCGATTCAATTTCAGCTAAAACCGCATCATGCTCGAGCAGTCGGTTCTACTGTGGCGAAACGGCGGGTGGCGGCAGCAACAGCGGTGGACGTCAGACGGCACGAGGACCTTCTGTAGCATCTTCCACCTCCACTGGCATCTGCGTGTCAGAAAGCGTACGTTGCGACGGCGTCATTAATTGCCCAGACGGCAAAGACGAATCCCCGTCGATGTGCGAGCAATTTGCAGGTATGCCACATCCACACCCCCAGTAACCTGATCGCAGTCATGTTGTGTCCTATTTTTTTTCCGCTTTCCAAAGCGCAAGATTCTTCGAAAATTCGCCACACAGTCTACAAACCTTTCACTGACGCACTTCACCCCACGTGGTCGTTGTGTGATTGCCTTGGTTTTCGTTTCATCCTGCGCGCTGAGAAAATCGATGGCTGATTTAAACAAAAAGACGCATTCTCTTAAATTCTCCACTGATTAACTATCACCCACAAAGGCCGGTTCGTGCGATGCGCCTTTAGCAAGGCTTTGAATAAATTTTCCCAGTCGAGATTCAGTTTGTTTACGCATCTAGGTGTAGGTTTCCAGGCAAAAAAAGTGAATTTGTCATCTGAAGCGCACGCACATGTGCGCGCGTGTGTGTGCGTCTTTGTCGTGAAAACTTTTTCACCGAATCTAACGACAGACGTTTAACTAAGGGCAACCTACGACCAGAAATTGAATAAGACCCCTCTTGGATGATATCCCACTTCGCTTCATTCTTCACAGTATCGATGTCTCCTATGACATCTTCTTTTGTAGAGAAAGCATTATTGTAGGCCCCAGCTTGTGGTCTTGAACCACGCCGGGGCCACGGAATTAACCCTGTTCCTATTACGCTTCCCTGATAACCACGATGAAGAAAAAGACCGAAGAGGAT